TTTTTCTCCATTGCGTCCTATTTAGTGTCATATTTTCATTTAGTTCTAGTAAATTAAGATCATTTTTAATACAATAAGCCCAATTCTTCCTAGGTCTACCTCTGCCTTTCTTAACACAAGTCGAATTTAAAACATCTACTCTCCTAATCGGATCATCTAATGGTCGACGTTTAATATGACCGAACCATCTAAGACGACTTTCTCTAATTTTGTCTGTTACAGGAGCTACACCATCTAAGACGTTTATTTTGATATGAAGAATATCAAAATAATAAAATAAAAAAATCTAGATCAAATCCGACCCTTATCAGGTGCTAGATTCACAATTGCATGATCAAATCCAATCACCCGATTTCAAGGTTTGTCCAAATATGAGAAAAATCTAATCAGCAGGTGCAAGAGCGTAATCACTGATCAGATTCTACCCTCTATCTCTTTGCTTGCTTCTCCTTCATCTCTTTTATTAGGGTAGGTCTGTAATTAGAACTCGAAATTTGTTTTAGTTTTTTTTTTTTTTTTTATTTTTGAATTTTGTAGCTCTTATGCCTACAATTGATGATCCTACCGTGACAGTCACATCAACTCATAGTATCGACACTACTCTTACTCTAGGTTTTACGGCAAGATCTCACCTTTCAATAGGTGACCACAATAATGATCAAGACATTCAGCAGCTTTATGACCGGAATGCAGACCCGGAGTGTTGACTCTGTGATGAATAGAGGTTGCCGATTCTAGCTATCAGAGTAGGCAGGAATAATTAAAAAAAGCGGCATTTACATACATAGCATACAGATCTTATCTATTTACATATCTCACACCTAAACTTTCATATTTACACAGTTTTGATTTTGATTTTCATTTTGAAGATGCAAATAATAGTTTAGATTTTCATTTTGAATTTGATTTTATGAATTTAGCCTTATTTAATCGTTTATGCTGCAGGGCACTCACATATCAGGTAAGAATGGCCGTATTCATTGCTCATTAAATATTAATACAGAAACTGGACGCTTGTCAGCTAGAAGACCGAGTTTACAGGTTCTCAATCTGTCCATTTGTATGGATAAATGAGCATTTTAGTGAACATTTTGTGAAGATTTATGAGGTTTATATTTTGCTTACAATGCTGTTTAACGTGTAATTTGCCGTTAAATCAAGTTAGAATGTTTTTACTTGGAAAACATGCATTTTGTTTACTGCAGCTTAATTGTTTCCTTGTTAACGGTTTGATGATATTTAAAAACTAGGTCACACTTATATTGAATTGTGAGATGTGCCTTGACTCCATGCACCATTCTGTAGGAGTTTGTACCTTCTTTTGATCATAAATTATTATGATCTACTGGCTTATGTAATTGTCAACCTGACTAAATAAAAATTAAATGCAATAGAAAATGGTGCATAAATTTATCCAGTGGACAATTGGTCGTGATTTTAGATGTAGAACTGTTCATGATATGAATAGTTACATAGTCCATTCCTTCATAGACCATATCTGTTTTCCTTGAAATTGACGTACATATTTCTTAAGCTTTTGGGTTATGGTGTGTGAAGTCTACTTATGGGAGAAGACTTTATCATTTTTCTAAAAGCAGTATATATGCTTATGTGGGCGTTTGGCGTGTGGCATTTTCTGAGGGCGGGAAGGAGTTTTGGTCCATATAACTTCGCTTTATTAAGGGTGTTTGGGAGTGTCAACTAGAGAGTACTCAAAATTGGGCTAGATATACAATCAGTTAAACTCATTTTTAACCCAAAAGCTTATTAGTGATACCAGAGTTAACCTAAATAATGATAAACAAACAAATACTATTACTGAAAAAGCTAATAGGCTATTAAAAATAACACACTGAAAGAAAAATAGCTACAGGCATAACACAACTCCAGCTAGGGTTGGATCAAGGTGTGGCGGAGGTGGCCGGTGAGGGTCTGAAAGGTGCCAACTAGCCGCACTGGCAGCACTTACGCCCTCTTTGGCACCCTCCTCCTGGTTGGATCAAGGTGAGTTTCGACGGGACTCTCCATTTCTCCAACCTCGCGACGATTGGAATTATCATTTGAGATGAGCCGAGACAACTAATTGTGGCCATGGGCCATAATTTTCTGCATTGGGACAGCTTGCGAGTGGAAATGATCGCAGTTTTATCTCTCCACAAGCTCATTGAAAATTGGATGACAAGGCAAGGGAATGATACCCAAGGGGGACAATTCCAACATTATTGACTACTTCAGGCACACTAGGGACAATAAGATGTGGCTACATAACATTCCCAACAATCCAAATATTGGCTTTTTGCTTATATTTAAACAAGTTTTTTTTCGTCATACTAATAGAGAAAGCAGCACAACTGCCCATACTTATGCAAAGATGGCTTTGATAGGGATATTTTTTTGAAGCATGTAAATGCCCATATCCTCTGTTTTTGGTTTCACAAGAGGACATTTGCCCATGTTGCCCAAAGGACATAATTTGTGTTTTTTGGTACTTTTTGTAACTTTTGATTTTATTAACGCAAAATGCACACCTTCCTTAAAAGGTAGCGGGGTGGTGGGAAAGGGTGGTTAGCAAGCAGAAACGGCAATGTTGTTTCCCCTGTTCCGGACAACAAACAAGCAGCCAGAATCGATGTGGGAGGGCTTTCCAGAGCTGCAACAGCGAAGGAGCACGTGTTTTGGGGTTGGCGGCAGCAAGGGGGAAGGGGAGGAGAGGCTGGGAAGGCAGGAATAGCTATTGGCGGCTGTCCCTGGGTATCGTGATGAGATATAACAGTAGTTGGGGCGATTCTGGGAGGAGCAGCGAGGATGGGGCGGATAGACAGCGGGAAAACAACTTATTTGCTGTTTTCAAGATGGCGGCGGTGAGGAATGGTAATTGGGAGTGATGTGGGAAGGTTGGGGAATGATGGAGGCAGCTATGTGGGGTGATAGCGAGGCTGGTAAGGGAGGGAAGCGGCTGGAAATAGGGGAACTACAGGGAAAAAAAACAATAGTCGCTGTTCCAGATAGCTGCAGCAGAGACGGGGTGACCGGGAACGATGTAGGAAAGATGCGGAAGGGGATATCGAAGAAAATTATCACCTCGGGGAGGAAATACAGTCTGAGCACCACTCTAACTCTCATATGTAGCCCTAGACGAGAAACATAGACGTTGGAGACAACCTCAAACGAATTCACACAAAACCTAAACTTAAAACATAAAAAAAGTAAATATATAATAATAAGATAACTAGAAGTGACCTAAGAGGACCGACCGACTCCACACGCAAAAACCTTGAATGGTACAATCCGGACACGAAAAAAACATTCACGGAAGCATTGAGTGTGGGGCGAAATTCCACTCACTTTTTTTTACTCCCCGCGACAATCTTTTGGGGTTGGGTAACTTTAGACCTTATGCATCGAAGCTTCTGGCTTTTCATTATATGGTGTTAGGTCAGCTATGTTGAAGGTGGTGGAGTTACTGTAACTTCCCGGTAAGTCACACTTGCACGCATTATCATTCCAAAGCATATCCTGATAGAATAAGTATTCACTCTCTTTTGAGACAGCCCGAGCTGGAGTTGCATAGCCTGAGTTCTAGCTACATATATCTTCAGATTCTCACAAAGTAACTCGAGCCCTTAAGTCTGTTTCCTTTTTCTCCCACTTCTCGTACTCTCCTGAATGCATCTGATAAACAAGTTTGTCAGAAGGAATCAAATTTGGAATAAAATCTTTGATAGATTGGACGACACCGAAGTATATTCACTCATGAGAGGTATCTTCTTCTTCTTCTTTAAAAGGACTTGAATCCCACTATAGGATGTTCTTTCCCCCAAAAATCTTAAAGTGATTTCCAATGTTTTGGTTCCTTTATCCATTATAGTCATCTGTCGGTGGGTACACTGCGGAGCTAATTTTAATTCCTCAAATGACTTCATATTATCTTTGAGAAGTGACATAAATGAGTCTCATCTCTTACATGTTGGTCCTCTCTCATTATTGACAATTCAAGAAATAGAATATATATCGGAAAAATATGAAAATTTTTTATACGGAGTTGCCATGTGTTTGGTTTCAATTCCTCAAATTTGGGGTCATCTTGAACCGCCGTATTAATTCTATTGTAGCATCTGTCATTGGCTCAGCTTGAACTATGTGGTTTTCTCCCTCATCAGTTTGGGTCTAGTGCTCTTTCTTTGTGTTTTCACAATCTTCAGTATGTATTTGTGTCATTGCACATTTCTTCAATCACGTCCTAATCAATGAAAGAGATTGTTCTCCTTGTTTGGTAATCTGATTCAATATAACCAAATTCGTGCGACTTGAAACACTTTCTAGCTAGGATGGATTTCGGAATGATGATTGACTCCATGTGTTCTCCACACTGAATTAGTTTTTTCTCAGGCAGGGTCAGCTTTGATGGTTTCCTCTGTGTATTCTGGTTGTAAATGAGACAGTCATTCAGTTATATTGTCTTTTTCCACGTGTGGGCATAGCTGCTTCAAATTTTCCCACCACAGTAACACACTTTAACTAACTTGTGACTAGTTTCGTCGTTGGTGGTGCGTCCTGGTACTCAAAGACTGGTTTCACATCTTGGAGCCAATTGATGAACTCATCCGGAACCAAATGGCTATGAAAATATGGAAAATCCACTTTACTTTAAATTTTCGATTTCTTTGATAGTTCAGACCAAATCTTCGGGGTAGTGATTCATCTCTGGAATTCTCCTGGCAGAAGGGACTTACTGCATTCTTTCGATCTCAAAAGTCATTTTTGTGGCTGCGGGTGACCTGTATGGATTGCTCTTCTTGAAGGTGGCAAGGCTCTATTGTAGTTGGAGGGCTTCCATAGAAAGTTTTTGAACATCTCTTTGCAAATTTCTCATAAGTGGCATTGTGGCGTTTCGACTTGGTTGGGTTTCCGACAATTGTCTATTCGGTGGTGTGGTTAGAGTTTGAGTTTGTGGTGAATGAGGGTGTATAGGGGTAATGTAGGGTGAGAAAGAAAATTTTTGGGTAGTCGGTTTGAAAAATCAATGAGGAGAGTTTTATGGGTGGAGATAGGGTTAGGTAGTGGTGAATTTAGGTAACTGTAAAATGTAAAATATGATTAGAGTTAGATTAGCTCTGATACCAAATGATGCTGGAGCTAACCCAAACAATGATAAGAAAATAATTATTAATGAGAAAGCCAATAGACGATTGCAAATAACACAATAAAAGGGAAATAACCATAAAAATGCCACACTAACTCCTGCTATGGTTGGATCAAGGGGTAGTGGAGGTGGTCGGTGAGGGTCTAGAAGGTAGAGGGGTGGTGGGAAATGGTGGTTGGCATGCAGGAAGAACAAGGAGGCTGTTTCCAAGGTTCCAGACATCAAACAGGCAGCCAAAATCAATACAAGAGGGCTATTTGGAGCAAAAACAACAAAGGAGCGGGTGCTATGGGGTTGGCGGCAGCAAGGGGGAAAGGAAGGAGCGGCTGGGAAGACAGGAATAGTAATGGGCTGGTGTCCCGGGGCGTCGGAATAAGGTATAACAACCGTTGGGGTGATATCCAGAAGGTGTGGCAGTTAAGGGGAGGCTGGTTAGCAGGAAAACAATAGATTTGTTGTTTTCTGGATAGCGACAACGAAGAACGGTGATTGGGAGTGATTTGGAAAGGTTGTGGAAGGTTGGTGGTGGCTGTGCGGGGTGGCATCAAGGCTGGGAAGAGAGGGAGATAGTTGGAAATGGGGCAAATGCATGGAAAAATAGTATTAACTTTTGTTTCGGGCGGTTGCAGCAGGGATGAGGCTACTTGGAGTGATGTGAGCATGATGCGGAAAGGGATAAGAAAGATAATCACCACCTTGAGAAAGAAATACAACTAGAGCACCACCTGAACCCTCTGACACAACCCTAGATGGAAACCAGAGACGTCGGCAGCAGTCTCAAACGAACTCACATAAAAACTAAACCTAAAACATCACAAAATCAAATATATAATAATATAGTAACTATGAGTAGCTCAAGAAGACTGGCAGAGTACACACGCAAAAACCTAGACTGGTT